GACATTGGGAGGGGATGCCGAGGGAAGGGAAGGGAAGGGACAGAGGGAAAGGAGAGGAGGAAGGGAGAGCATATTAGGGGGGCCAAAGGGGCAGAGGGATGGGAGGGGAGGCCGAGGGAGCAGAGGGAAAGGATGGGTAGGAAGGGAAGCTGAGGGGCAGAGGACAGGGAGGGTACGAGGGGGGCCAAAGGGGCAGAGGGAAAGGAGAGGGGGTGGGGAGAGGCTGAGAGAAGGGAGGGGGCAGAGGGAAAGGAGTGGTGGGGAGGGTGGGGGGTAGAATTTCTATAGGGCAGCAAGTGTAAGGTGGGTTTTTGTTGTTGTTCCTAGCAAACCGTTCCTGTAGCTAATTTCCATTGTCCATTTGAAGGCCGGGGCTGTTCATTATTAGCCCGATAGCTTCTGTTTCTCTTCCCATGCCTTGGGCTGATACAGGTGTGGGTGGAGCGGATGTCTAGTTATCATATCACACTGTATTAGAAATCAGGATTCCCTCCCAGGGACATGGGTTTTGTGAAGAGAGATTAATTAGTTTGTGAAGCACTTAGGGCTTGTCTCAACGAACTTTTAGTTTGCAGCAAACTAGGGTGTGAATCTACTCTGCACTAGCTTGCCACAGACTTACTGTTCACCTGGACACTGCTGACATGGATCAACGGTTCTTTAGTGTGGGTTGATCTAGTCCTCTTTGAAATGGGACTAATCAAAGCACACTAAGGAACAGTTGATGCCTGTCAACAGAGTCCTCGTGGACAGTTAATCTGTGGCAGGCTAGTGCAGGGTAGAATTACTCCAGTGTTCCACTTTGCTGTTCTCAGCGATTTCTCAAGAAGCAGCATGAAACTAGCATCGCTCTCCACTTCCCTCCCCAGGCTTTTGAGCAGGGGCAACGAAATTGATCATTTCTAGTAGTTACACTCTGCTGTTGCTTGGCAGATCTATGACTAGCAGCAGAAGCATGGGAACCAGCTGATTACAGACTCAAGAAAACACCCGTTTACACTCAGTTCGCATTAGAATGTCTTTGTGACCATAAGAGCCAGTAATGTGCCTTTATATATATATATATATATATATATATATATATATATATATATATATAAT